TATGAACACAGCAGGCCAAGCAGCATCAGAGGAGCAGGAAGGCTGACGGTTTGGGCCTAGACCCTTCTTCAGATTTCTGATGCTGCTTGGCCTGCTGTGTTCATACAGCTCTACACCTTGTTATCTCAGATTCTCCAGCATCTGCAGTTCCTACTATCTCTGAAACAATAGGTTTAATTGTCTGCAAGTTTCTCTCCTTAATGTTTTAATGAAGATCTGTATCTTGGATTGTGGTTGGAGTTGTTAGCTGATTCGCTGAGCTGACTGGTTTTCATGCAAACATTTTGTCTCCCTTCTAGGTGACATCGTCACTGCTGTGCAGCCTCCGTTGAAGCGCTTTTGTTCTGTCCCGCTCTGAATTTATACGGTCTGGTCTGTCATGGTGTGCAGTCTTGCTTCTGGTTTTGTACTGTAGAGGTATGTAGATGGGGTCTATTTCAACATGTCTGCATTGGTGGTTGAAAACCAGGCCTCTAGGAATTCTTGTGCTGGTCTTTGTCTCGCTTGTCCTAATACTGTAACTTTGTCCCAGTCAAATTGATGTCCTTTTATGTTGGAGTGTATTGAAACGAGGGAGACATGGTCATGCTGTTTTGCTGCGAGTTGGTGTTCATGTATCCTGGTGGCGAGTTTCCTGCCCATCTGTCCTGTGTAGTGTTTCTCGCAATTGCTGCATAGTATTTTATATATCGCATTTGTCCTGCTCATTGTAGCTAGGGGGTCTTTCATCTTTGACAGTAACTGGCGAAGTGTGGCTGTTGGCTTGTGTGCTATCCTTTTTCCAAGAGGTCATAGGAGTCTTGTAGTCATGTCTGATGTGGCAGGGCAGGGTGGCCAGTGTTTTGGGGCGTACAGTGTCTTCTTGGTGTTGTTTTTTCACCAGACATCGGCAGACGAAGCTGTTAGGATAGCCATTGTTTGCAAAGACTCTGTATAGGTGTTCCTCTTTGTTTTTACACAGCTCTGGGGTGTTGCAGTGAGTAGCAACAGGAATTACGCAAAAACGAAGAGGAACACCTATACAGAGTCTTTTTGCAAACGATGGTTAAACCTAAAAGCTTCGTCCATCGATGCCTGGCAAACAAACAACACCAATAAGACACTGTACGCCCGAACACACTGGCCACCCTGCCCTACGTTAGAAACACATCAGAGCTGACAAGAGTCCAAAGACCTCTTGGAATAAGGATAGCACACAAACCAACAGCTAAACTTCGCCAGTTACTCTCAGAGACAAAAGACCCTGTAGCCACAATGAACAGGACAAATGTTACATATAAAATACTATGCAGCAACAGCGAGAAACACTACACAGGACAGACAGGCAGGAAACTCGCCACCAGGATACATGAACACAAACTCACAGCAAAACGGCACAACCAACTCTCCCTCGTTTCAATATACTCTGACATAGAAGGACATCAACTTAACTGGGACAAAGTTACAGTACTATGACAAGCGAGGCAAAGACAAGCACAAGAATTCCTAGAGGGCTGGCTTTCAACCATCGATGCAAACATGTTGAAATAGACCACATCTACATACCACTATGGTACAAAACCAGAAACACTGCCCGCCATGACAGGCGGACCATATAAATTCAGAGCGGGACAGAACAGCAGTGCTTCGACAGAAGGTACACAGCAGTGACGATGTCACCGAGAAGGGAAACGACATGTTTGCATTAAAACCAGTCAGCTCAGCAAACCGACCAACAACTCCAAGTTTCTCTCCTTATTACATGAATGCTTCCTGGTATACCTGTAATAGCAAGGATAAATATTTTAAATTTACATAAGCGTGACCATAGCCATACATAGCAAAACTATTTTGCTAACCCTATGTTGTAAAATATTTAGGCTGAACAATTAGTGATAAAATCACTGATCTGGTGTACCTCTACAAATTTATTTTCTTTTCAAAATCTACAGCATATTCTAAAAAAAGGAGAGATTTTTAATAATGATACATTTGGCCAAAATATAAGCATAGCTATAGTTAACTAATACAAATAGAATATTGAGTCCAAATGACATTTAAAGTATATAGTGTTGAACAAAAAGTGCAAGTTTTCCTAGAGATGAGGTGTTTGTATTGAAAAAAGCATGATGGAAGAAAACTGTCTTTAACAACTCTGGACTAGAATTATTGTCAGTGGTCTTTAGAATTTGCTTAAAAGGATCTATTCAGTTAGCAGAATTGTCTGCGATAAAAGATATTTTCTTTACCTTTCAAATTAGAATCTGAAAATTGAGGAATTAAACTGGCACTGACTTGGACATTAGAACCATAGCATAAGAAGTTTATGCACAATGACCAAATGTATTATTGGGTTGGTTTTCAACACTGAAACTTTTGTCATAGGAGTTCAAGATTTTCTACATTTTGTTTCAGGTACAGTCATATTTTCAGTTGGAATTTCATGGGCAATGGAGCAGGAACTCAAAGCAATGGCTTCAGAACCCAAAGATGCACATACTTTCTTTGTGCGAGATTTCCCAATGGTCTACAAGCTCGTGCCTGATATTCTTAAAGGCATCTGCAAAGATTATTTGGCTGTAGCAAAGTGATCCAACAGCTACTGTGTGCCTTGATATTCAAAGGCAATGAACTGATTCTTGTCATCAATACTAACAAACGTGCTAGTGCAATATTTTGTAGAAGTATAGGCCTGGATATTAATATATAGTACTGCATGTGCTATTTCTCCTACTTCACAAATTATTCAAAATAAAATCAGGAATTTTAAGATTTAATTTACATGACAGTATGCAAGAAGAAATGCCTTTATAATCAGAGCTTGTATTGTGATAGACAATGTATTGCATGTTTGAGACAAGTGTTGGTACTGTTTCAGTAAGACAGTGTTTAAAAAGTGTGTTGGTCATTTGATTTCAGTTACAAGTAACGTCAGTTAAAGGTTCTTTATATAAAATGACTGGTTTAAAATGTATTTAACATGTCCTTATTGTCTGAATGTTGTGTAAACCAATTTACAGATACCTTACAGTTTAAAATAAATACCAGTCTATTAAATTTGAATGAGCAACCAAGTGGGTATTTGTGCTTACAATAGTTCTAGTAGTAGATAAGGTCGTGTCCAAAAATTCAAATCCTGAAGAAAATTACCAGCTTGAAAATGGAATCAATTCCGAGCACTGGAAATCACCTTGCAACTGGTTACCTTTTTAGAACATACTACATTCTTACGGTGTAGAATAGAATGTCTTCAAAAATAAATTTAAGGTAGGATAGTTTATTATATTTCTTAGGTAATATAAAGTTTCAGTGATTTTTTTTAAAAATGTACTTTTTAAATACGAACTGCACAAGCAACAAACTACTCACAATCTCTCAGAATTGATTGCTCACATTATCACAAAATAATATTTGCAGATTAAATGTTTAATTTCTCATGTTTTGTTTATTGTAGATAAAACATTAACTTCAACATTTGGCCTATTGATAACTTGACTGCCAAATTACCAGAAACAGGAAAATTACATTTTAAGACAATGTGGGCTTCTTCTTCCATTCTGCCTCTTTAGATTTGATTAAACAGGATCTTGCCAGAGAATCACAATCACTAAACAAAAGAAAAAAGAACTGCGGATGCTGGAAATCAGAAACAAAACCAAAATTGCTGGAAAAAAAAAATCAGCAGGGCTGGCAGCATCTGTGCAGAGAAAACAGAGTTAATGTTTTGGGTCCAGTGATCCTTCTTCAGAATTGAAATCACTAATTATCTCGGAAGGGCTGATAATTCCATGCAGTTTAACTGATAATTTCCGAGAACTTAAAATTTCCCCTACTACAAGGCTACAGTAAAGTGAATTCTGAGGTGAATCAACTTGCTTACGGATTGGAGAACAGAAACAATTGAAGTAAAAGCTCAGCATTCTGAACTCTTAAGTATATAGTAGCAGACTGTGAGCAGCAGAAGTTTCCATTCTAAGTATATACTAACCTAATTGATGGTGTCTGTATCCCTGGACAAGGAAGTGAAAGATGAGCTATGGTTCCCATTCTTGATTGTAGTCAAGTAATTGTTGCTAGAAAATGTGAAAGTGTAGATCATGGTTACGAATCAAACTAATCCCATTTGTTTTGCCCTTTGTGTTTAAGTGGCCTTTGATCACTGTTAACAATCTCACAATAAAAAAAAACACCACTTAGCCAAAGTGTAGGCATGCTAGTCGAAGCCATGCAACCATACGTTGCAAGAAGACATGTCAGGAGACAGAGAAGGAAACTTGGACAGAAACATATACATCATCCTTGTCTCTTTGTCTAACTATTCCACAAAATCAAGTTTTATATATACTGTTCAAATCTAGGCCAGTTTCTATTTGGTGGAAATGTCTCCACAAAGGCTAGTAGCCCATCACCAAGTCACCCTTTATTTACACATGCATAGTCCATGGCACTGGCCCAGCTAGCTCAGAGAGTGAGCAGAACCCTTGATACTCCCTTTTATTTTTTCCCCTCTTTCATTTTTTAAATATCCCTACACTACTGCCTTATAGCGATAGTGCTTATTTCTCCCCACAGCACCTACGTTGTGTGTGCGCGTAAGTACAAGAGTCAGTAAAAACACAATGTGCAAGACAATCTCATTCCGCATTTTCACTGCCAGGAAAAATGCTCATGTGACCAGTGAACCATTAACAAGCAAAGCTCAGAACAAGCAATGCTTACATGAAAAAGGTCAAGGAGTGTGTCGGGATCAAATCAAAATAGAGTTGGGGGTGGGGAGAATCTCCCTTTTATATCTGTCAGCCAGGACTCCCCGACTGGGGCTGTTAACCTGGTCCAATCAGGAAACTCATATTCTATAACGTCCACTGAGCTGACCTTGTTCCAACCACTACACAAATTGTGTTTGACAAGAACAAATTTTTTTCAGCAAACATCTTACTTTGCTATTATAGGTGTTCAAACAACAGCAGAGAAAATGGAAATGAAATTAAAAAAAAACTGAAGCTAACTGAAAAGTATTAACAATGGCAAAAACAACAAAACTGGCTTGTGACTTGTATTCCATGCCAATGACTACAACATAGGTCTGAGTATCAGGAAAGAATCAAGTGATATTAAAAAACATATATTTACCTAATATTTATTTTGTAACATGTTATTAAAATATGCATCTTAAAAAATAGCTTTTTTATTTTACTTAAAATGGTTTGGACATGTTGAGTGGATAGGCAGATGCATGACACATGAATTATAATGTGGATAAGTGAGAGGTTATCCACTTTGGTAGCAACAACAGGATGAGAGATTATTATGAATGGTGATGGATTTGAACATGAGGTGGTGCATCAAGTTCTGGTCATCCTTGTATGCCAGTTACTGAAAGTAAGCAGTCAGCTGGTGAAGAACGCAAATGTTATGTTGGCCTTCATAGTGACAGAATTCGAGTACACGAGCAGCACTGTCTTGCTGCAATTGCACATTAACTTGGTAAGATCACACCTCGAGTATTGTGTGCAGTTTTGTTCTCCTTGCCGGAGGATGGATGTTCTGGCTAATGGAAGGTGTACAAAAATGTTTACCCGACAGATTCCTGGCATGGCAGGGCTAACATATGAAGACAGATTGGATCATTTAGGACTGTACTTATTGGAGTTAAGAAGAATGGGGTGGGGGGACTCATTGAAATTTAAAAAATTCTAACAAAGCTGGACAGGGTAAGTGCAGGAAGGATGATCCCAATGACAGGAGAATCCAGAACCAGATGTGGGGTAGGCCATTTAGGACTGAGATGAGAAGAAATGCTTTCACTCAGAGTGGTGAGCCTGTGGAATTATTTGCAGTTGAGGCAAAATACTGAATCCGTTCAGGAAGATGGCAGATATAGTTCTTAGGATTAAAGCGGTGACAAGGCGTGGAGGGAAAGCAGGAACACTGAGTACTGAATTGGATGATTAGCCACAATCATACCGAATGGCAGAGTAGGCTTGAATATATGAATGATCTACTCCTGCCCCTAATTTCTGTTTCTAAATAAAATAGATGCCGAAATTCTAAAACAAAAGCAGTAAGTCACATCTATAGAGAAAGTCAGATAGAGGATGGGATTTTCTAGTCCCACGCGAGGCAAGAAGAATGACGGATAGGTGAACTAAATCTCAACATTCTTGACATTGCAGTGAACATTAGCAATTAAGCTCTCCAACCACAAAAGATGGCCTGACCTCAGCAGTGCTGAGAAGTATATCTACATGCATTAAAAGCCCAACTTGTGGAATTAATCTTTCCTTTCCAAACAATTTCTGCTCAATGAAGAAACTCAATACTTCAGAAATCCAAACAGATACAGCAGCATCTATCTGACAATTTGCACTTCTTCCTCGACTTCTGCACAAGCACTTGGTGTGCCTATAGAGATACAGCTTTCAATGCTGAGGGTGACTTTGTGCGATGCTGGGAGTTCAGCAAGCTTAACTTTTTCCTAAAGATCTAATTTTCTTTCTATTTCACACTTGCCTATAATTTACTGTTTAAATTTAAAATTTAATCCTGACTTAAGCAAGGAAATGCTATCTTTGTAGGTAAGAGCAGTTGAATTTAATAAGGAATCAAAGAAACCATCTTAAACAGGAAAAAGCTAGCCAAAAATAAAAATGCAGAAATATAAAATCAGATGATTAGAGTTTATATTGATATTTAATAAAGAAACGTTAACAAAATGAGCATTGTTCCTATAGAAATGTGGAACTAATAGTGGAAAATAAGGACAGGGATGATAAATTGAACAGCTATTTTGCATTGTTCTTCCCTTTAGTGGGTAGAAGTAATAACCCAAACATAGCTGTAAATCAGGAAATGGAATTTAAGAAAATTACAATCAGCAGGGAAGAAGTACTCAGCAAATTGATGCTGAACTGACACATCCCTGGGTGCTGATGTATTTCATCCTTGGGTCTTAAACAGTGGATAGTGAGTTGGAGTTGGCTTCAATTTTCAAAAATTCTCTAGATTCAGGGAAAGTTCCATTAGAGCAGAAAAAAAGTGAATGTAATTCTTATATTCAAAAGGAAACAGAAAGGAAACTACCGGAGATAAAAGTTTCAGGGAGCTGTGGCAAACCTTCTAGGTAAGTCCCAGCAAAACTGAGTGAACCAAGATTCTGTAAAATAAGGGGTGCAGTTAGGGGTGCTGGTGGAAAAGAAGTAAAACCAAGTTCAAACCCTACATAGTTTTGAGGTGTCAAGTTGACGATCTTACTTTGTTCAATTTTTCTTGAGAAGATATAATGTGGTTTTGTTGAAGAATGTGAAATCCTACGGGTTAGTTTAATTGGTTAATGGGCATTGTGATTTCTCCTTTAAAAGTTTTACATTTTTCTTTCTAGAATTACTATCCCATTCTAAAGATATTACCTATTCTATCCCATCCCTGCAGTTATTTCTAGAAGCTCATTCATGTTCCTTTATATCCTCTACTCACTAACTACAGCTCAACATCTGTCATAGGGAAAAAGTTACCAGTAAAGACATTAGATATACTTAGAGAAATTCAAGGTAATCAGGCAAAGTCAACATGATTTTGAGAAGGAAAATCATGTTGGAGTTCTAGAGGAAGGAATATATGCTGTGGATAAAGGAGAAACCAGTGGTTGTATATTACTCATCTTTCCATAAGGCATTTGATATGGTGCTACACCAAAGGTTACTGTAGAATATAAAAACTCATGGTACAGGACATAGCATATTTGCATAATTAGAAGACTGACTAGCTAACAGGAAACAGACAGTTCTATAAGTTGGTCATTTTCAGGTTGGAAAGATTAATTAGGTGGTATGCTACAGGGATCAGTGCTCTGACAGCAAATATTTATAATTTATCTCAAATCTCAAAATGGTGGTGGTGGGGCTCACCTCCTGAGCATGGGGCTCAGCTGCTCATCGGGTTCGGCTGCATC